ACCCCCTTCAGGCCAGAACCAATTCCTCAAGATAATGAATGTTGTCTGAGTGGGTGCTTAAGGAGAAAATTACAGACATTTTTGTATAAAGCTAAGGACTACTCAGTGTCCCAGCTTCCCAGCACACATCCTTGGTTGACTTTAGACATGTTTTAGACATGTGTGTCTTGATTCCTTGTGGTCATGTGTCACCCTGTGTCACACTGGTGCTCAGTGGAGACAAGGTGGCAGTTTCTCCGGGTATACGAAGGTTTGCATGATTTTAGGTTCCCAGCAAAGTTTTCCAGTGAAACCTTTGGTGCCTGTGGATTTGGAGCTATTAGACTACCTTGCAAGATGTCACATACTTGAATTTAAATATTCCCATGCCACTGAAGTTACCTGGAACACAGTTATTTCTATGTTTGTATCTTAACTTCTGTGTGAACTGCTTCAGGGTGCTGAAGTCCTGATGAATTGTGGTGAGTGTCTTCAATAACTGTTGACTTTGTTTTTTTCTCCTAAGAAAACTGAAAGCAGATTTCCAAGAAAATCATACTGGGCTCCAAAATATAATTTTATAAAGGAAGCTTTTTAGAACAGCAGCTGCAGAGATGGACCAAGGCCTCTTGACTAATGAAGACCTGGTAGGCATATGTCTTCTATTACCAAAACTTTGAAAAAGACCTAATTCTGCAAGATATAGACTATCAATTTTACTAATATGATTTTCTGTGGGATTTAGCAGACTTAGCAAAGACCAGGAAATGCAGATCACGGTATTCAAATATAATTGTCATTTTACTGCATGTTTCCCCACTGGGAAAAAAGTAGTCAGATTTTGAGTACCTGTTGTACCAATAAGTATGCATAGTATGCATATACAATTACATGGTACCTACCATTGTCCTCTCTGCAGAAGAGCTTTAAGCATGGCAAGGTGGCAGCAAAACCCTTAGTGTCATTCAGCTTTCAGTGGTTGTGCAGGAAGAAACTTCAAAATGGAACAAGGTCATGGACATAATGCTCTATATTTGTGAAAATGCTGTACTGGAAAATGCTCAGGTCTGACTCTAAGCATTTCTCTGAAAGGAGTTTTGATCTGGATCTGATGTGACAAGACTCAGCAGAGCATTTGTAGGTCGAACAACTCCCTCTCTAGGTTACCAGGCTGTATTTGAGTCACTCAGGTGCTCTGGCAGAGATAAGCATAATCTGCAATGACATCTAGGCTACACCAGAAGATAATGCTGCTTCTGGTGTATTACTCAAAATGTGTGCAAGCAGACTGGTTTGGGCTGCTTAAATAAGCATTTGTGACTAGAGCTGTATTCAGAGTGGCAGAACTAAACTGAACCACCACCCTCAGGAAAACTTTATTAGAATAATTTCACATTAAGCAGTTTATGTAACTAGATGTTAGAAACACTGCTTTCCAGAAACACTGTCAAGCACTTATCCTCAAATAACCCATTTGACTTATTTTTAAACCAGAGGTACCTGGAAATACTGACTATACAGAATCCTGGAAATCATTGCACTGGAGCAACTCTTCAACTTGCTCTTGACTTTCTTTGAGAATGCCATTTCAGATCAAAATGATGAAGATATCTTGCATTGAAAATCAAATCATTAGGAGATCTAAACTGCTGTGGTTTTTGCTGCTGATAGAAAAGGCAGAATGAATTTTGCAAAATTACTGACTTCGCCAGTTTCCAAAAGAAACACAAGATTTTTTTTAAGTCCTTGAAAGCATGATTCCTATCATGTTATCAGACAAAAGATTTTCAAGTAATTCTGAACATAACGTATACTGGAGACTGTGGAACAAACTTTTAGGACTGTTTTATATAGTAGGTGGAGATATACAAAGATATCGTTAAGCTTTAGTGTTTTGGTATTGAGCCATAAGGACAGTCCTGTGACAATCATGTGGTGCCATCTTAGCAAAGGCTCTGAAACTGTTTAAACATGCTTAATATTTTGTGCTGCCAGAGTAGAGGAGAATCTCAGCCTATTTATAAAACATCCAACTAATTTAAAATTAAACCACTAAATATCAGTGGCAATATAATAAGTTTTCAGTATGTAAAAACTTCCTGCTTCTCTTCTTATTATTATTTCCTTCAAGTGTTGGTTTTTTTTGGTTTTTTTTTTTTGTTTTTGTTTTTTGTGGCAAAGATTTACACAGGAATGAATGGCAAAAGTGACATTGCTGTCATCAAGTGAAATCCCTCAGAGCAGAAATATTATCTCCTGCAAAGCTTTGGAGGGAACATGTGAAACAAGCAAAACACAACATGAATTTTCAAAATTCATTCCAATTAGAGAGGCACATAAAATATAGTGTTGCATATATTTCAATCCTTGCTTTGCTCATGCTCCTAGCAAAACAAACAAACAAAATTAAAATAACTATGCTCACAGAAGAAATAGCTGCAAAGTTTAAGATGTCACCACCCCCCTACAAGAGGTTATACATTCCTGCACCTCAGCAGCTTCACAGCTTAGTTAAAACTCCTTTGAAAAGCACATTTATCTCCAGTTACTGGACTTTGTACAGAAACAGCAGAGTGAGTGTGAGTGCACACACTCCATCAGCTACTCTAACAGTCCCATCTGAAGACATGCACAGGTGACATCTTAGATTGTATCGGTTAGCTTTGCCTGGAGCTCATCCAACCTCTCTTCAAGTTTCCACCATGCTCTCAGATCTTACGAAGACTGAATTAGCCTAGCTACACTTCCACTGATTTGCCAGCATTATCCAAGGCAGGTCACAGCCACTGATACATCTTATGCTGTTGTCCAAAATCTCTGATTCTTCCTACTTCCCCACAGTCAGAATTACTTTCTGTTTTGGAATGACTGGTGCTCCTGGCTGACCTGCAAACTTCCTTCAGACCCATAGCTGGCAAGATCACAAACGCATCACAGAGGAGTGCTGATTGTATTACTGTTTATAGAAATAGCTAATTCCTTCCCCCAGCTTTCTATTATTGTATCAAGTGCTTCAGGAACTACGTCTCATGTCCAGGCCATTTGCTGTGGAAATTGTTTCCTTAAAAGATACGTTGTCCCATGCATGGGAAGAAATGTTAGTATTTGATTTTCTCTGTGGAAAAAAATAAATTACAAAGTCAACAGTGCTTGTATATAACCTGAAGTGAAAACCCCACGCAATTCTGAAGCCAGTAGATACTGGATTAAACTTTGCACTGGAGGCAAATTCTTAGATATACATCCTTGTTCCTGTTGTTCCTCTCCTGCTTTCAGAATCAGAGAGAAAATGAAACTCAACTGCCTCCGGCAGTACACAAGCCACATTCTCCTCTGATTGTTACAGATTTATTTTAATTCCAAGTTTCTCTGTCTCTTTTTACATGGTGTTCCCAGAAGCCCTGAACACTTTTATTAGTATTGTTAAAATAAATCTAAAGTAAGAGAGACATAAAGGTCTCTCATAGTCCTGTTTTGGCTCCAACTCAGCACTGAGCCTTACGTTTACTGGTTTGGTTTTTACTAAATTTTCAAGGCTGAGCCCTTCAGAGTTTAAAGAGCTGTCATGGGCTTGCACAGAGAGCTACTTCCTGTCTGGGATAGGTTGGCACCCTCTGTACCAAAACTGGCATCTCAGACAATCAAAAAGCACTTGGTATCTGTCAGCATACTCAGGCTATTCTGTGAATCCAGACAATCCAGTCCCTTGCAGCAAAATAGAAGCAGAAGAAAAATCAGCTGTAGTTATCTGGCAACTCACAGCTGTCTGGTCTCACCCCTCTGGCAGGAGGCATGGGTCTCTGTCCCCCTTCTTTCTACTTGAGGAGCACAAGGGTGCAGGCACTTGCCAGCTCAGATCTGGAAGCAGAAGAGCTGCACCAGAGTGGCAGAGCACTGGAGCCAGTAAGCTGTGCTGAGCTCCTGCTCTGCTCCCACACTCCAGCTGGCTTGGACCCAGACAGCTCAAGTTTCTCTGCGTATCACTTCCCTGCTCTCCAGATTCTGGGGCCAGCACAAGCAGAGGCAGCCCAGATCTGTTTGCACACAGGATCTAAGTTGTTTTCCTGTTGCACAAAGCAGAACAAAACAAGACGAAATGGGCAGCAGCTGGAACTACGCAGCTTTGCAGAGATTCCATAACAATGCGTGTATTTGCTGGATCTGTAAATGAGGAAACACTTTTCAAACAAATTTTTCAAATTTTGCACTTGTAAAAGGCTGCTAAGGGAAATTCACCTATCCTGCAACTTTAAGAACTGCAGCTGTGGAGTGTAAGCACAGAGCAGTAAGTAGCTTGCTTACCCATGGCTGCTTTCCTTATGCAGCAACACTTTCTCCCTGCTGGAGGGTACACTTCTACCTGATAAAAAGACTTGGCAGTAAGCTAGAAAACAATCAAAAAGGCTTTTTTTCTTCCCCTCCTCTGCCACAATCTGCCTGGAGAGATTTAGAGAAAGTAGGACTTGTATGAGGAAAAGAATCACAGCCTGAAGCTGCTGTACTAACTTCGAGTTAACACTGCATGAAAGCATTCAGGGAACCTTCACCTACTTCCTTCACAAGTCTAGAGGACAAGAAAATGAAAGTATATGACTGTGCCACAGATGAATGAGGTACATTTAACATTCATGGCTTTTTCTGCACAATCTGGTCATCCAAAGGCCAGTCATTCTTCTACTGAATCACGCTGCAAAATTATTTCTATCTCACTGTTGTGCTTTCTGAACAGTTGCCTAAATATGCTCCTTGCAGTAATTCAGTTTGCTTTCATTTCAGATTGCAAATAAAAAGAGAAACCAAAGCAGTAAGAGTAACACAAATTTAAGTATGTGCTTCTATTTTATACTTTCATGGCACATTTTCATTTGTAAATATTAAATTACCAGTCGTCTTCTTCACATGTTGAAAATAACAACCAGAGAGAGAATTACCTGAGATTAAAAAAAAAAAAAAAAAAAAAAAAAAAAAAAAAAAAAAAAAAAAAAAAAAAAAAAANAAAAAAAAAAAAAGAGAAAAAGATCTGGCATATTTTACATTACTCACATACAGTACTATTTTAGGAAGACTTACAAAAGGAAATGTTTTCTAAAAAAGGACAGTTTTCTTTTGACTATAAAGATATAGAAAATACATCAAAATGCCTTGGAATGATCAGCCTTATTAAGAGTATGTGGCAAATCAAACAATCGTTTGATTGATCAAACTGTTTCAAGCAATTCCATGAACACATAGCTGAAGCACTGCCTCAGTCCTGCAGCAGCATGATATCCACGTTGTCATGAACACCCTGTAAAAGCAGCTCTCCTTGGTAAGTGACAATCTTCCGTCGTTTGGCTGCCTTAAGTGTCCCCACCAGGGCTTCAAAGAGGTTGGCACACTTCTCATCAGCAAACAGCACACCGAATTTCACGCTCACTTGTCCATCAGCATCTAAATAAAAGACATAATATAGATTTCCTTCAAGTTAGGAGATTACTGGGAAGATAAGGTGACACAGAGAACATTGAAAGCAAGCTCCACTGTGTTTTCCAGTTTGTTTGGGATCATATTATGAATGCTGATGATAAACAGTAGACAGAACTCCTGCCTAATCTAACTTTGCCTTTCCTTCCAGACACTTGTATCAAGGACCATATATCTGCTCTGTTTACTTTTATTGATGATCTGAAACCTATGACAAGCACAGGCTATTGAACCTCTTCACAGTGTTTGGAGGAAATTAGTTTTAAATAATTAAAATCCTAGAATATCTCAAACTGAGGGAGACCTATAAGGATTAAATCCAACACCCTGCTCCTCCAACCTATATCTAAACCATACATTAAAATATTTTTTTCACTCATTAATCTTTATGGGTCACATTGAAAAGGCTGCAATGTGAATTTTCACACAAAGCAAAAATTTAAAAAGATATGTTAAAGGCATGTTATTCCTAAAAGGCAGATACAGTCATACAAAATGCAAGATGTACATATGCATTCAGGTTTTGAAAAACAAGTGGAACTGAACAAATGGTACCAGAACTGACATATAGGAGCAGGTAGCACATCCACAAACTGCATAAATATTTGGAAAGAAATAGGAGTTTTAGCAATGAAAAACAATCTTAAGAGAAAATAGTACCTTCTAAGCAAATTTAAGGAAGTTGGAACTACATATATAACTCCTGGATTAGTTTTAGTCATGTGGACCAATTTTTTCCAAATAATAAGATCATGAACAGAATTGAAACACATGAATTCTGAAGTAAAGAAGTTACCAAGCAAGGAGGTGGAAGGAGAAGGTGCAGCTTTCTTCTGTGGTGACTGTAGCAAGTATTGAAAGCCTAAAGAAAAGGTAACTCTCGTGGCTGATTCAGGATTCAGGGAGCAGAATTTCAGGCCTATATCCTCTCTGCTGCAGAAGCTTAAATGCTTAAATTTATAACAGAACTACTTTAAAGGATGGAACCCAGGCAGTACCTTACAGTCCAAAATGAAGTACATATGCACATTTTCAGGTTACCTGCTTATTTGAATTTGCCAAGTACTTAGTTTGATGTAGCATGACTACATTTGTATGACATGCATGCATGGTGGCATGTATGTACATACATGCATCTCTACTGTGACCACATCCATACAGAGATACTACAATACTTACTTTTGGTCCCCAGCCGCCGAATCTCCTCAACTAAGAGGCTAATTTCATGTTCCACATTCATTGTGATCTAAAAGGAAAAGAAAAATTAGAAATTTATAAGGAATCCTGTAAATCCTTTGCACTGTTCTGGCACATTCTCAGTTCTTTAGGAATGTCACAACACTTCATAAATCCCAGTAGCCTGGAGATGAACGTCTACAGGATAATCTAGGATTTTAGTCTTGAACAAAGAGCCTCTGCAGCTCTGCATTTGAAGGGAACAGAACAGAAGTTACAATCTTGTTACGTTCTATACATAAATACAATGAGCCAGTCTCAAAATATAACAGATGTGGAAAGGTCAAGGAAGAGGAGAGTTGTTTGTTTTAAGGAATGAGCTTAAGCTGCCAAATCAGAGCAACTCACTAACATTACAGGTCTTCAGGGGCTTTGCAACTTTCCATCGATGGCCTCAATTAAAATGGAACATCTGCCTTTAAATTTCTCTCTGGGATATGTGGTAGGTTTGGTTTCTTAAACCACACCACAGCTTTCTACATATGCTGGGAAGATACTGCAGACATGTATTGCTGGTTACAGACACACATGGTGTCTGAAAGGACAGCAACTCCTGCATACCTGCTACTGAAAGCAGAACTGATCCAAACTATGCAAGTGACCTAAGGCCATCAACATTTTTGCCATTCAAAATGATCCTGAGAATTCACTACACTGCCAAACCTATCTGGGGCACCTCTTTTCAGCAATTTGCACCAATGTCTTACAACAGTTTAGCCATATGTGGCACAGCATTTGGCAGCACTACAGTTACACACAACACTACCTGGCTGCAAAGCGCTCAAGGTTGACAACTGCAGACACCTGAATGGTGTTTTATGGCCTATCCTGTGCAAAACAGCACCAACACAATGAAACCTTTAGATGCTGAAGCCCTTAAGCAAAAACTGGCACTGAGGTAAGCACAAGAAACTGGGCATCACAAACAAAGCAAAGCATCAAATGCAGCTTCCACGAGTGCCAACAATGCAGCCTGGAACAAAAGCCACTGAGAGCTTCTGGAGCTGAGCACTAGCTAAAAAGGGTTCAGTGAGTATTTCAAGAAACTGGGACTTCTGCACTAGTATGAAAGTGGAGTTAAAAAGTAGACATTTGAATGTATCACAAACTCTTCCTAAGAGAAAAGCTTCCCCTCCTTTTTTTTTTTTTTTAATTGAATTAAATTGGTAAAGGTGATGTAGTTCCACTTCCTGACCCCTTATGATTTACACAAGAGGAAAAAAAATCCTTTGCAGCACAGCCTGATTTTTAGATCCAAAATTAACGTGCAAAAGTTTTTTTCTTCTTAACATGCAAAACTGAGCAAGCTTAATTATCAGCATGGGTTCTGGGCAAAGCCCCAGGTGAACCACAAGTTCATCCCTAGTGCACGGTATCAGCTGCAGACCGACAGGTGACACTGACACTGGACGTGCTGCCGTGGGACCACTGCTGCAAAGGGCAGGGCAGCAGGGCTGCACAGCTGCAACTGCCTTAGGTGAACTCCACAAACTTCCGGATTTCGTTGGACTCTGCACTAAACAGATCAAGTCAGCAAGGAAAATATGACCCATCTCTTAGAAAGCTTACACTCCTTTTATTTGTCAGACCGCCAGTTTTGATATTGGTCATCACAACGGCATAATTATCTGCTCTTTAAAGACGTTCTTCTCACTTTAAAGGCTCATTTTTACGTTCAGCTCTTTAAATTCACTTTGATTCCTAATTATTTTCATACACGTACATCATCAATATAAACAGCATTATTTAGAACAAAAAATGTTAAATTCTACATTATTAGGCAAGACTTTTGAGATCATAGGAGCATGGCTGAGCAAGGAGTAGGGATGCTCGGCATTTCAAAACTCAAATATTTGTTTTATACTGTAGATGCTCAACACACCGACTATCAAAAGTGCACGCCAGCTATTAGACTCTGGTACTCCTGACGCCAATACACTGTTGCAAGGCAGTATGTGGAATGGAAATTAAACTTCTCCTTATATGGCAGGAACGCGCCGAACGCCGCGAGCACACACCCGCGCGGACGCATCTGTCACCCACGGCGCCGACCTGTCCCCTCGCAGGCACTGATGGCCCCGGCGCCCACCGCGCTGCGAGGCAGAGCGCGGCTCCCTCCCCGCATCCCGGCGGGATCCGCTCCCGCCGCCGCCGGCGCAGGGAGCACCGGGAAGCGGCCTCGCCCGGGCGAGCGGCAGCCGCACCCGCGGCGCGGGCAGCGCCTCTGCCCCGGCGCGGAGGGAGGGAGGGACGGATGGTCGGACGGTCGGACGGAGGGACGGACGGTCGGACGGAGGGACGGACGGCTGTCCCCGACCCGCTCCCGCCCGCCGGCACTCACCCGCTGCCGCTGCTGTGGGCGCTCGGAGCCGGCGGAGCCGCGGGGCCGCGGCGGGCGGGCCCGGCGAGGGGCGGGCGGAGGTGGCTCTGCCCCGCCGGGCCGCGCCGCCTCCCGCCGCCCCGGGGCGGTGCTCCCGCCCATCTTGGCTCTGCCCGGCCGGGATGCTGCGGGAGCGGAGTGCTGCTGCCCTGCCGGGACCCCTCTCCCCGTGCCGCGCCGTGCCGTGGGTGAATTCTTCCCGCGGCACGGGCGTTACTGAGTTTGCTAGGTGCGATAGTTGCGTATTTTAAGATTGGCTTTTCGCAAATGTTACAATGAATAATATATATGTAATGTTAGAAAGTTATGCTATATTAATTATCTTACGTAGTTTTAGGTTACAACCTAATGTTAAAATAGAGACTATGTATGTGGGGGAATTCTGTTTTTGTTTTTTTTTTTTTAGGAATGAGATACTCACTTCGAGGAACACCTAAATTTTCCAAAGGAGAGGAATTTATGGCTTCTTATCAGAAGAAGCTAATTTCTATAGGCCTCGCTCAGACTGGAAGATTCCAGGGGATTAAAGGAAACAGTTGACATACAACATATATGATAGATGAATATGCAACAAGTGTATTGCTTTAAGGGTGATTCCTTTGTTCACTAGTTATGCTTTTCGTGACTTAGTGTCCAAGAACATCCGGACATCTGTAATTCTTTGCTTTTTCTATTGTCTTGTAATTGTCCTAACTCTAAACTTTTTTACTCGTATTATTATTTTTATAACCATTTTATTATTACTAAAACTTTTAAAATTTTAAAAACCAAGTGATTGGCGTTTTTCACACCAGGTAAAACACTTTCCAAGGCCAGCCCTTCAGCAGCTGCTCGTTTTCCTGTGGGTCAGCTTTCTATAATTTACCGTCTTGCTTCCATCACTCTCCATCCATGCCCCGAATTCCCCATCTCTGCTGGCTTCCCCAGGTGATATGCCACATTCCTTAGGCTCCCCACGTTTATTTTCTCCTAGAAAACTAGTTCTCCTTCCAAAGAAATGGAACGAGCTAAGTTAACACCATTTACCATCAATAAAATTGCGATGCAGTGTATCTGTGTTTCCATTCAGCACACATATCATTGCGCCCTACCCTGCAGAAAGAATGCAACTTATTTTTTTGTCTTGTTTCATGGCATTCACTGCTACTCTTGTCTCTTCACCTCATAGCAGCGTTTACATCCTCTCTCCAGGAGTCAGGCATTTAAGCTGAGAGCTGCATTACCTCCTACAAAGCAATGAAGCTGCCGCCAGCCCCCCAGGGTCAAGGTTTGTACCAAGGCTCTCCCAAAAATTCTCACTGCCGAGGCTGAAGGCATTGCCGTTGCCAGCTGTCTCTCCCACCTCCTCACCAGGCATGACTGCCCCTAAAGCACAGTTGACAAAAGAAACTGTTTCCAGCCCTTGCAATTCAGTTTTCATGTGCTAGTTTCTGAAGGTGAGGCTGAGATTCTTTCTCAGACTGTGAGCTGTGCCCATGGGGGCTGGTCCCCTATTACATTCTCCCATCCCAGGTGTGAGTAGGAATAAATAGGTGATGGCACCTCAAACCACTACAGCAAGCTCTGCTAGGGCTCAAACCTGCAGCTAGATAAATTGATTTGCAAGGGATATTTTGGATGGTGTTTTCATGAAAAGATTAACTTTTCCACTGAATAATCACTATTTATCAATCAGTTACAGAATCTTTGGTAGTTAAAAAAAACCCCCAAACCATACTGCTTTCTGGTTTCAATATGCTATAAAGATATTTTGCATCAGTAAGGGGTACTCTTCGTGAAAAAAAAAAAAAAAAAAGCTTTGATATTAAGGAAAACAAGATTAAAAGGGCTACATTCCTAAGTTGCTAAGAAAATAAATGAAATTTTAATCTATCTGAATTGAATCAAAAGATATTGAAAATTCCCAGGAGAATGTAGTATCTGAAGAGCACTGATGCTCTGTGCATACAATGCTATATGTGTGTACTGCTTTTCTAAGGTCTTTGTTATGTTGGCTGACAAAATGCTAAATGCTACAGTAAAAAAGGGTACTTTTTGAGGTAGATCTGAGATAAAGCTTTTAAAAGTGAATCTGATAGTATGTTACCAAATACATCAAAGATTCCAGTTATTTAGCAGTATAGAATAAAGAACAAAACCTTTTGATTTTGTTGTTAACTACATGCTTTCAGTTGCACATAATCTAGATTTCTTAATCATCAAAAAACTCATTACATTTGCACAAATAATGTAGGCCTTTGCACAATGTGATTCTTATTATGGATAATTTGTTTGATCAAGTAATAGTTTGTGCCTTTCAGACTAAAGGCATTATTATTATGCTGATAATGAAATCTGTATTAAAAATTCTTTTCAGTTTTGACTCATAGACCCTAATTTATATGAAACATCAACTATATATCTGAGAAAGATGCAGAAAACTTCATACTTCTTCATCTTATTTTCTTCTAACATATTTTTTTGAGTAAGCCTAATATATTTGTTTTTATTCTGTCTTTTGAAAAGGAAGTGTTATTCCTAAGTATTTGTCCCCAGGCATGAGGAGATTATTGAAACACTTTTGTTATTATTTCTTTCATGGCCCTTCCTAGTCATGTAATGTTAAAATAGGTTAATAAGAAGTCAAAACCATCTGTTACCATGACAATTAAGGTAACAGATACTGCCAAAGTACAAAAATTAGCTGGGCAGCATCAGAACTCAGTGACTGATTATGTCATTACAGGGGCAGCAGCAGTGAGCAGGAAACATGATAATTATGGAGATGGTGATTTCCCATCACTCTGTTTCCACAAATTGATGCTGTCTTAAAAATGAAAGAAGTGCAAAATTGTCCTTCACAAGCTCACAGGACAGACATGGAAATATTGCTCATACATATTTCATATAACTGGTGAAGGTCATCATCAGACTTATAATTCATTATGCATTTTAGCTGTGTGAGTGCTCCCTAAAACTCATGAGATTCTTCCTTAAAACAGACTATTCTGATTTGACCTTCCTTGGCATGTCACTTCATTCTTACTATCCCCCCAGATGCCCATGAAGGCAGCCAGACAGAGGAATTATGCACAATGTAAAAAACATCACTTGAGAACAACACAGTAGACATAGTGCATCTGATCAAACCATCAATTTAACTGGACATTTTGCCTCCAGCAGGGACCAAGAGAAGGCATTTGGAAAACAGTGCAATCAATGAAAACTATTGGGTTTTCTCCTGGCTCCTGGCATTTACTGGAGCAAGTAATTATTCTATCTTCTCCTTCCTCCACCACAGTCCCTAATTTAATCTCATATAAGATTAATGTGTCTCCATGTTGCTGATCCTTCTTGTTTCTCTTTATAATTTTTCAAACAATTCTGTGTTACTTTCTGGGGCTGAAGTAGCAGAACTGTCAGTATTATTCAGCATGTAGTTATAGTATATACAAAAGATGTAAGAATGCTTTCTGTTTTGTTGTCACTCCCAATAATAAAAATTCCCAACATTTTACTTGACTTTTTGAAAATATCTAAGTGCTATGCACAATGGTTTCAAAAACTATTTCCAAAGTGGTGGTAATTAATTGTTCTGTTACAGATAATTAGGATTACTCTCCCCGTACACTATTTTCCATTTTTCAGTACCATCAGGTATTTAGTGTGTAATTTAAAATAGGATCACACAAATTTCTTCACCTCCTTTCCCATGTCTTCAATGACAGCTTTGAACAGCACAGAAGGTCCAAACAGAAATGGTATTAAGAGCACCCTAGTAATTAGTAACCTCTCTTGGTCATGACTATCAGTTGACTACCAGCTTTACCTCTTTGTCTCCTTCTACCTTTCAGCTGTTCATTGATTCTGAAAGGATTCTGAATAGCTTCTCACCCATGAGAAATTAGCTTTATAAAAGTACTTAATGTTAGAGTAAACACATGGTAAACATATTTGTTGTTACAGGTTTCTCCAGAGACAGGTGTGTAATACCATTAGGGCCAAGCCTGAAAAATTTAAGGGAAAGTTATAATGTCATTTGCTAGATAATGGCCATTTATATTGTTTTCCAGCATATATTAACTAGACAGCCTCACTTTACTAGTGTATATTGATAACCCATGCTGTTCTTTTTTTGTATAATAATGTTACTTTTAATTTTTGTTGTATTATATGTGCTTATGTGCAGGCAGGCATAAGCATCACATGTGCATACACATTATTTTCTGTTGAGATCCTCTCCAGCCAAAAACCATTAGAACTGACACCATGATTGCAGATTTCACTGCTAGATGAGATCATCTTAACATCTTTCTTACATAATCTTACATAATTACTTTCATTTTACAACACTTTTTTTTTTGACATGTTGATTTACTAGAGACATTCATTTCTGCTGCATGTGCCTGTTGTCTCGTCCCCTCGCTTTAACACCAGTAACTTGTACCTGTTCAAAGTGCCAGATTCTCCTTACTATCTCCAAAGCTGGATGGAAACTGTGGTGCTGTGATTCAAACAGGAGTGTACAGATATGTCTTGTCTTAGCCCAGCCCCATCAGGTATCTGTGCCATCGACCTGCCCTGAGTCACTTCTCACCATGGGCGTTGCACCCATTGCACGGGTGTGCAGTAGGGTTATGACTCAAAAGCCACATCAGGCCAGGCTAAAATAGGTCTTAAAAGTCTTCATATGATTTAAAGATTTCAAGTGGTAGAGGATCTACTGCATTCCTTTTTCCTGTGGACTTTGTAACCACACAGAAAATGTAAGATATCTGTTTCTAGAACATGACAGGGTACAATGAGAAATTAAAATTCAAGTCAAGGCTGTTATACAAAGCTGAGTGGAATAAGTAATATTCAGAGAGTATGGATATTGGGGCAGTCAGAAGAATGGCCATATTTTTTGAGACAAGCCAATCAATGAGGAAAACAGCACTCCATATCCAAAGTATCTTCATAGTTTTTGGTCCAATCACTGTTTTCCTTGACCACTCTCTCTGTCTTAACTCAGCAATTGTTTCAAGGGAGAAAGTAATTTAGCCAAATGAAAAGCATAGT